GTGTCCTGTTGTGCTGCCCCAGAACCCCAGGCTGCTGGATGATGTGAGTTTCCACCCTTGTGTGCGATTCAAGCGCTGGGAGTCAGAGCGTGTCCTCTCCTTCATTCCCCCCGACGGAAACTTCAGGCTCATGTCTTACCACGTCAGTGCCCAAAAGTAAGTCATTGTGTTCACAGTGGCTCCGAGAAAATTCTGGGAAGTTCAATGTCACCGAAATAAATTCCGTTTTACGGTGTACCATTCATCAGCTTTTTACCAAGATGGCGCTGAAAAGAGGTGACATGTTGTGTGCAGCTCCTCACAGATTGTACTCTGCGTCCTGTAGTGTGTTATCATTGTTAATTTTAAACATACAAACAATTACTGCAGTAATCTCATAAGACCGACATGCTCTTTTGAACTCCACATGAAGAGTTCCAGACATGTTTCAGTATTTTGCACCTTGAACAGCTATCTGGAACAAACCTTCCTTTGTCCACCGCGCATCTGGCTCACCTGACTCTTCAGGACGAAAGCACCGAACAAGAACCAAATAGCGTGGAACGCAGAAGCTTGGCAGACGGAGAGGCCTCCGAGTAAGACTGAAACGCAGCAGCTTTCAAACTTCACTCCCCAGCATTCTTCCGGTGAACGTCTGATTGCTGGGAAATAAACTAGATGAGCTCGCAGCGAGGTTGATCTATCAGCGGGACTCGAGAGACCGCTGCCTGTCTCGCCCCAGACTGACCTGATCCTGACATCCAGCTCGATGGTTTTTCCATACATCACATGGAATCCACCAGAAAGGGGAAGGGACGTGGTGGATGCTTTCTGATAAACAACTCATGGTGTTGAGATGCGGCGATTCTATCTCACTTTTGTTCCCCCAGTCTGGAATGGGGATACCTGGAATACCTGATGGTGGAATGCTGCCCATTCTACCTGCGTGTTCCTCAATCATCGTGACTGCGGTTTACAAGCAGACACCCGACTTGCACTCGACAAACTATATACTGTAATTTAATTAAAGGACACGAAACTGCAGGCCCTGATCCTATACCTTAGCTGGGGATTTCAATCAGGCCAACGTTAAGAAAATACATCCACAATATTGTCAGCACGTACCTACTAGAGGCATTAACACTCTGGACCACTGTTGCACTCCCGTCAGGGATGCCCAACACTCTTTCCCTCGGCTGCATCCCAGCCGATCAAATCACCTGTCTGCGCTCATACTTCCTGTTTACAAGCAGAAACAGAAGTGAGAACCCGGTCGCAACAACGGTACAGTGCTGGTCCAAGGAGACGGAGGAAGTACTGCAAGTACTGCTTTGAGTCTGTGGACTGGACCATGTTCAAAGACACATCATCCAACCTGAACGAGTACACGACACTCGTTACAGACTTTATCACGTAATATGTGGAGGACTGTGTATCTACAAAAATAATGTGGGTTTTACCCAACCAGAACCCACGGATTAACCACGAAACCCATTCCATGCTAAAGACAGAGGGCTTCTAAGTCAGGCGGCTTAGATTTATACAAGAACACCAGGTACAACCCCCGGGAAAGCCATCAGAAGCACTAAAAAAAATGCAAGAGCAGGCTAGAACTTCACTTTAAAGTGATGAAACTGTCACGGTTCTAACCTGAAAAAAAAGCACAGTGGTAAATTGCTTACCTTCTGTGTGCCTGTGTTCAGTCGTGGTGAACACGCTTTATATGAAGAACTCCTCCTTGTCAAAACGGAACATAGGATTCTCAACAGCTGTTCCATACCACACGTCTGATACAACTGTACTTGTGTTGGGAGGACTTGGTGATTGTTTCCAGGTTGTGTGTTTGGCTGAGCTCATAAGCACTTCATGGGAAAATGGACTTTTTCATTCTCAGACCTTCAGTGTTGTTGGATTTTTTTTTTTCTATCGTAGCTTGGTAGCTATCCCCGTGTATGTGAAGCACAACATCAGTTTCCGGGAAAACGGGTCTTTGGGCCAGTTTGACGTGACGGTGGGCCCCAAGCAGACGATGGGGAAGACGGTGGAGGCCGTGGTTGTGACGGTCCACATGCCGAAGGTGGTGCTGAGCGTCAACCTCACCGCGACCCAGGGCACCTCCACCTACGACCCAGTGACCAAGGTAACTGTCCTGAACCTGAGCTAAAACCTCCAGGGGGTGTTCTGAACACAGGGTGCCAAGGGCATCGCCTCTGTGTTCGGGGTACACAGCACAGCCTTGCCATGTGTCTCCCTGTGGAAGGCAAAAAGCCCCGAGAGACCTGCACAGCTGCTGCGGCAGCCCTGAGGATCAGCAATAAACAATAAACAGAGTTTATTCCTGAGAATGCTGAGGAGGAAGAAGCAACATTTTGCCGTAGGTGTTTTTTCCCTCAACCGTTCAGCAAGGAATTAACCTTTACTTGTTCATTTACAGTCGGCGTACACTGACGCAACTCCCCCAGTCAAACTTAATATAAAGTTGTTGGAATGTATTGTGCACCGAAGTTCAACTGCAACAAATCAGTTCCAAAAAACAATGTTTCTTCATTGATTTCCTTTTCTTCTCAGATCTTAACGTGGGATATTGGAAAGATTAACCCCCAGAAGCTGCCAAATCTCAAAGGGACAGTGTGTCTGCAGTCTGGGGCTCCGAAGCCAGAGGAAAATCCCACTCTAAGCATCCAGCTAAAGATCCAGCAGCTGGCGATTTCAGGTAGGGCCACTGCAGACGGGCGAGGGAGTGGGGTCAGCGGGAGGGGCCGGGGAGTGGGGTCAGGTGGTGTCGGGGTGAGGGGGCAGGGGAGTGGGAGTGGGGTCGGGGTGAGGGGCAGGGGAGTGGGAGTGGGAGTGGGGTCAGGGTGAGGGGCAGTAGAGGCAGGGCAGTGGGGTCAGGTGGTGTCAGGGTGAGGGGCAGTAGAGGCGGGGCAGTGGGATCAGGTGGTGTCAGGGTGAGGGGCAGTAGAGGCGGGGCAGTGGGGTCAGGTGGTGTCAGGGTGAGGGGCAGTAG